ATTTGAACAGTGTTGCACCAAATATGGAGTCACACTGTTCATCGCTTCATTACTATTCATGTTTTATTTAAATTTATAAAACAACCCCAATAATATTTAAATTTTATAATTTTACTCCAATTGTATAATTTGGACAAACTAAATTATTTTTTTAATTATAAAAATAATGTTAAAATTTAAAAAACATTATTATTAATTATAATATTAAAATCTAGACATTATAATTAAAAGTAGATAAAAAGGAATACGTGAAAAAAATAAAATTTGATATGTGGGGTTAATTGTTGAAATAGTTAAAAATATAGAGAATAGAAAATAATAATATAAAAGTAGATAAAAAGGAATATACTAAGAATATTCTTTTTTGGTGCAAAAAATGGTATAGTGGGTTAGAGATGAATTACTGTTAGATGTGATTTTTGCACCATTTTGATATAAAATTTGCACTATTTTGGTGCAATGGGTTGGAGATGGTCTAAAAAGGGCTGAATCACATAGACTATATGCATTTGAGCTAATACACATTACAAATAATACAGGGGGCTGGAACACATCAACTTTTTATTTTTAGGGTCTTGACATAAATTTTCCAAAAATGAATATTGTTTGAGAAATTTGTATAGAAAAACCTATGTTTTCCTTTAGCTAATCAAAACAGGACATAGTAGGAAAGCGTGGCAGTGTGAAAAAGAATTGTGACATTTTGGGGACGGACAAATTTTCAAAACCAACTTTTTTTGGTTTTTATTTGCAAAAAACGACCGCTTTTGAAAATAATTACAAAAACCGACATGTTTTCAGCCCAGCGCTGAAAACAGGTCGGTTTTTGTAAAAAGTTTTTCGAAACATCACGGGAGTTCCAACTCCCGTGAAGTTTATCGAGAAATTAAACTTCACGGGAGTTGAACTCCCGTGAAGTTTAATTTCTTCTTAAAACTCCACGGGAGTTCAACTCCCGTGGAGTTACAGTCAAATATCCCCAGAGAAGCGATCTCTGGGAAGTTGGGACTGCAACTTCACGGGAGTTCAACTCCCGTGAAGTTGCAGGTCATACATAGAAATGCACTCTTCCTAAAAAAACTATACTCTCTAATTTTTGTATACTCTCACTATTTGATTGTGATTACATGTAAAAATCTAGATTTTAGAATTTAATTGTGAATTATTTACGAATTTTGTGAAGAAATGTGAAAATTAGAGGGGAAATTATCACTAAATGTGAAAATTAGAGGGGAAATTATCAATAAATGTGAAAATTAGAGGGGAAATTATCAATAATTTTGTGAAATTTGTGAAGAATTAGTGTGAAAATTATCAATAATTTTGTGAAATTAGAGGGGAAATTATCAATTAATGCGAAAAATAGTGTTACTACATATGTATGACATAAATTAGATTTTAGAATTTAATTGTGAATTATTTACGAATTTTGTGAAGAAATGTGAAAATTAGAGGGGAAATTATCAATAAATGTGAAAATTAGAGGGGAAATTATCAATAATTTTGTGAAATTTGTGAAGAATTAGTGTGAAAATTATCAATAATTTTGAGGGGAAATTATCAATAATTTTGTGAAATTTGTGAAGAATTAGTGTGAAAATTATCAATAATTTTGTGAAATTAGAGGGGAAATTATCAATAATTTAGAAAATTAGTGTATTTAGAGTTTAGAATTTAATTGTGAATTATTTAGATTTTGTGAAGAAAAATTAGATTTTACATATGTAAGGCATAAATTAGATTTTAGAATTTAATTGTGAATTATTTACGAAATTTGTGAAGATGTATTAAATAATTTTGTGTATTTAGAGGTGAAATTATCAATTAATGTGGAAATTAGAGTATTAAATAATTTTGTGTATTTAGAGGTGAAATTATCAATTAATGTGGAAATTAGAGTTACTACCTAAATGTAAAAATTAGTAACAATCAATATTTATTTGGCTTTTCGTGTAATATTGATATTGAATTTTTCACTCTTTTTCGTGTAATATTGATCTTGAATTTTTCACTCTTCAGAGGTAACGATGAACGATCGAATTGTAATTCTCTGTTCTTATGATGGGAAGTCACTCTTCAGAGGTAACGATGAACGATCGAATTGTAATTCTCTGTTCTTATGATGGGAAGATTAATTATCTCGAAAATAATATACCCGTTTACGAAGGAGGCACGATGAGACCGTTGTTCATAACAAAATCGTGTACTTTCGATGAGTTGGTTAATGAATTACACAAACTTACATTAACTAACTCACGTGAGTATCACCTTAGTGTGGTTTGCAATTATCCTGTTGTGGGGAACAGAACAAGTGGCATTCAAATATCAAGTGACTACGATATGAGTCTCATTCATGTCTTACACGACGAGAAGCGTTCGGTCGAATTGTTCATTGAAAAACATCAGAGAGATTTGGGCAAATCGTTGAATTACAAAGGATTGAGTTCATTTCACGAGCTGCACATAATTGGATCGAAACTAGTTTGAGTCCAAACAATGTTGATAAGTGGGCTTTATGTGAGGATGACGGCAAACGGTTCTGTATGATGACTATGAACGCGTCTGAGAGCTTCAATGGCGTGCTCAGGGGAGCACGCGACATGCCAATATAGGCACTAGTTGCTAAAACTTTTTACAGGCTTAATAAATTCTTTCTTTGACGTCGAGAACTTGGTGAAAATATCCTCTCAGAGCTAACACCGAAGGTTGATGAAATGCTAGCGGCTCGGATTGTACAAGCTCGGTCCTTTCAGGTCGTACGATACAGTTTTAATGAATGGGAGGTGCTCGAGGGAATAACACATAGAGAAAGTCGCTCTTACAAAGTTAATATGTTGGTGGATCACACTTGTACGTGCACTTGCAATGTACCGCAACTACAATGGATTCATTATTCACATGTTGTAGCAGCTTGCTCCGACCTACAGGGTGGTGCTCGCATTTCACATTATGAATGTGTCGCGGCTTGGTATTCTGCATACAACTATCAACAAACGTACAAAGAGTGTTTTTGTCCACCATACGATAGTCGACATTAGACACAAGATGGGCCACAGATATTACCTCCCTTGTATAAAAGATCGGCGGGGCGCCCTCATTCCGTGCGTATTAGAAATAGTATGGATGACGGACGTGAAAAAGATCGGCGGGGCGCCCTCATTCCGTGCGTATTAGAAATAGTATGGATGACGGACGTGAAGGAGCTAAGAGGAGAAATAAGTGCAGTAGATGTGATCAACCGGGTCACAACAAAAATAGGTGTCCAGTTAGTATTAGGCGTTGATTTGTATTATGTAGCGTTTTGCACCATGTCATTCGTATTTATTATCTTTGAAGCGTATGATACTCGTTATTTGTAATATGTTCTGTATGATACTGTGTTCATTTCACCCATGCATTTGTATTATGTAGCGTTTTGCACTATGTCAGATCATGTATGTCATTCGTATTTGTTATCTTTGAAGCGTATGATACTCGTTATTTGTAATATGTTCTGTATGATACTGTGTTCATTTCACCCATGCACTTGTATTATGTAGCGTCTTGCACTCTGTATATATGCTCATATTTTAATCACAGGTCTATTCATTATGGATCCAGGACCGGAAAATCCCGACGTTTTGTACCTTCAGGCGAGTCATTGTTCAGACCATATTGGTTCGGGAGATGTAATACGAATAAATTAGATATATATTTCTTCGATTAATGTAATTTTTTTATGAATATACTTAAAACTGATTCTCGTTTTATGTGCAGCCCATACCAGACATCACGATGATCGAGCATTCCCAGAGTCATTCGGCTTGGGTCATTGAGGATGAGAGGGTACTACTACTGATCGCTCAGGCCGGTTTTCGATCGTGTTCGACGATTCGTTATATTAGGCTTGATTGGCCGCTCATCACTGCACTTATTGAGAGGTGGAGGCCAGAGACCAACACCTTTCACATGCATATAGGGGAGTGCACTATCACCTTACAGGACGTGGCCGTCATACTTGGACTCCGGATCGATGGACCGGCAGTTACGATCACCGATGATCATAGTTGGCTGGAGGTATGTGCTAGGCTTATTGGTCAGGTTCCCGACTTGAGGAGTGGTGCGATGAAGCTATCGTGGCTTCGTCAGACATTTTAGAGCGATATACCAGAGGATGCCTCTATTGAGATGCTCCAGTTTCATGCTCGTGCATACATATTGCACATGATAGGGTGCGTACTATTTCCTGATGCGAGCAATACTCTCGTACATACACGATGGCTGCCACTGCTGGAGGATTTCAGTGTATGCGGCGCACTATCGTGGGGCAGTGCGGTGTTGGCATATTTGTATCGAGAATTGAGTAGAGTATCTCTGATGCAGAATAAAGAATTCAAGGGATGTTGTACGTTGATATAGATTTGGTCATGGGAGCGCATTCATATTGGACGACCCACTTTACTTATGCACCGTGACTTGGAGGGGCAGTATCCGTTGGCATACATGTATAATTGTACACACACATATTTCATTCGTAACCTGAATATTTGTACTTATATATTCGCTATTCTGCATATAGGTATAACGTGCGATACGCTCAGTACAGATCAGCGACGCGTCACCGTCAGTTTTACCGAAATGAGCTTGATGGCCTCCAACACGAACAGGTAAATATAAAACTCAAGAAGTATGAATATTATAGTTTTTTTGTATGATACTAATAAATTTTTTATTTTATTTCAGTTCAAGTGGAGACCCTATACACCGCCGGAGCTTGATATGCATTCTCTTGCACCTATCTGCCGAGATAGTCCCGACTTGTGGAGAGCCAGAGTTCCATTGATCTGTTGGGAGATCGTAGAGATGCATGTCTCGGACCGTATGCTACGGCAGTTTACGCTCTCTCAGCATATTCCAGATCCTGTCGAGCAGATCAATCGTCGGTGACGCCCTACATCGCACCGGACTGACTGGGCCGTAGTCCGTGCAGCCCACATAGACAGATGGGTTCATAGGTGGGATTGCATACAGGATACGAGGCCCACAGCTGTTGACTATACCGCGTATATGCGTTGGTATTGGGGTATCACACGTAGATGGATCACGCGTGACCCACAACCCTTAGCTGGACACATGCCACGCCCACCGACAGATAGTTACATCCCTAGTGGGATGAACGAGAGAGATTACGTAAGTTTCTAAGCTAAATTATAATATTTTTTATTGAGTTGATACTTAATAAATTGTTTACCACGCAGGTCCGTGTTTTAGATAGCATTGATGCTGATATTGATGCGCACGTGACTGAGATTCAGGATCAGGTGGCGTTAGGTCTCCTCAGCAGGATCAAGAAGAGCATAGCGCAGGTGTTCCATAAGACTCACGTCGACGAGTTCGCAGGCCGTGAGGACAGGTCTCGCTCATTTGGACGGGCGTACGCTCGACGTCGACGGCCGCGTGATGATGACGCCGGCACTTCGCATGCCGATGGAGCCGGCACTTCGCATGCCGATGGGAGAGGAAGGAGGGGAGCTATATTGGGTTGTATATGAACTTATTTTGATAAATTTTGTAACTTTCCTGAATTTTCAAATACTAAACTTTTGAAGATAAATTATTGTTCATATACATAATCGTGTGTGTTTAATTCATGGTTGAATCATGTATATATTGTTGTTTGTAAATAAATTGGCATATATATGAGTTAACAGGTACGTATACAAAACATGCACAACAAGCTGTGCATGTTTTGGATAATCTGCAACTTCACGGGAGTTGAACTCCCGTGAAGTTCCAGTCCCAACTTCCCAGAGATCGCTTCTCTGGGGATATTTGACTGTAACTCCACGGGAGTTGAACTCCCGTGGAGTTTTAAGAAGAAATTAAACTTCACGGGAGTTGAACTCCCGTGAAGTTTAATTTCTCGATAAACTTCACGGGAGTTGAACTCCCGTGATGTTTCAGAAAACTTTTTACAAAAACCGACCTGTTTTCAGCACTTCACGGGAGTTGAACTCCCGTGATGTTTCAGAAAACTTTTTACAAAAACCGACCTGTTTTCAGCGCTGGGCTGAAAATAGAGCGTTTTTTGTAATTATTTTCAAAAAGGGTCGGTTTTTGCAAATAAAAACCGAAAAAGATTGGTTTTGAAAATTTGTCCTTTTGGGGACCTTCACCCAATTCATCGGCCTGCCTGACGGGCAAACGGAACTCAGCTGAGTTTAATGCAAAATTCACCAGCTGCTTCTTTCCCCCAGAACCGGTGAGATCAGTTCATTACGAAATTCAGGCAAACCTACCCCCACCCCCAAAACAGAACGACCAAAAGATGCCGACTCCATCTCCGTCATCCACCTTCGATCTCTCAACCATCTCCTTCCCCTTGCTCTCTGTTATCGTCGGCGGCGTCCTCGCCCTCCTCCTCTTCGCCGACTACTTCCGCCGCAAGCGAGCGGAGTCCCACCACTCGCCGGATCCGACCACTGCCCAAGCCACGCCGCTGCTCAAGGCCCAAGCCCCGCCGCCGCGAAAACTCCATCCCCGATCTCACTCCCACAACGTCGACAAGGTCAGTTGATCAACTGAATTGCTTTCATTCTCTGTTGCATTCTTGATCGGCGTTTTTTTTTTGGGGGGGGGGATTTTTTTCAGGATCAGAACAAGAAGCACCATCCTCTCGATGTCAACACTCTGAAAGGGCACGGCGACTCCGTCACTTCTCTCTGCTTCTCATCGGATGGCCGAAATCTTGCTACAAGTGAGTTTTTATTTTGATTTGGGTTTTTGTTAGGGTTTGTTGAAGGACGATTTGTTGCTTGGAGTTGAGGTTTTTAATTTGTTTTGCAGCATGTGCGGATGGAGTGGTGAGGGTGTTTCGGATCGATGACGTTTCCAGTAAAAGTTTCAAGTAGGGCTTGTTCTCATACCATTTTTAGTAGAAGTTTCTCATTTTTGTTGAAAATTCAGTGAATTTGAAGCTATCTTAAAGTTGTAAAAATTGGCGTTTGACCACTGATGCCATTTTTCTTTTTCCCCTTTCTATTTCATTGAATATTTAAGGCTATTTTAAGTAGCATAAAAGGTGATATAGGGAGTTGGACAACATTTTACCTTAGAAGTTTTCATGTTTTTTTCCCAATTCCTTGAACCTTGAAGTCCATGTTAAATTGCATATAAATTGATGAAGGGAAAAATCCAGTTGCCTGGCTAGAGAAACTTGGGAATGTCGTCAGGGGCGGATCCATGATTTTAGTTCTGGGGGGCCGCGTACAAAAGATAGATAAAATTTTTTCTTAATGTAATTTTATTCACAAGAGATATACCACAACCCACATAAAACGAGTAGAATAGCCAACATCAATATCTCCAAAATATTTCAAAAGAGGAAGATAAATATTATATAGAAAATAGTCAAATAAGCATCATCTATTTTTTTATAACTAAAATTTCTCTAACTAAAAGGAATTTGACGTTCCTTAAAATTTTCAAAGCCTTCAATGATAGCATCAATGCTCAGACTTTTAGCAATTTCTCTTTTAATAAACATCATTAATGCGTCGGAGAGGAAAGCATCCTCCATTTTGCTTCGAAGTCTAGTCTTGACGATATTCATAGCTGAGAATGATCGTTTTGCAGTAGCGGTAGAAACTGGAAGAGTAAGCACAAGTACGATCACTCTAGAAATGAGGTCGTATGTAGCAGATTTATTAGTCTTTACCAACCATTGACCCAACTCAGAAATGGTTGAAAGAGTTTTGAAGTCTGACCTTTTGACTACATTATGCTCATAATGTTTCAGTTGCATCTTCAAACTCTCTTTTTCTTCACTTCTAAAATCTTGTGCATAAAACTTGCCAACCAATTTGCATATATCTTGTATTCTTAAAGCCTCAGATGCATTTTGAGGATTTAAGGCAGAACTAAGCATGAGCAATTTTGTCGCATCTTCACTAAAACGCACATTAATTTCTTGCATTTGTGAATCGATCGCGACATAAAGAAAGTCTAATCGATAATGATGCCCAATGGTGATGTCTTGATGACCACGAGCTCATTCTGCCCATTCGCTAAATACCTCTCCATAAATTTCCAATTTCAATGAAACCCCCTTTATTAATCTTGTTGCTACTCATGGTAATATATTTACTATTAATATATACATAAAAACCCTCAAATAATTAATATTCACAAACTAATTTTTTTCCCCAAATTAGGAATAGAGCACCCTAATTCTCCCCCCCCCCCAAAAAAAAAAATAAATTTGAGGGGGCTTGAGGAATAGAGCACCCTAATTTTTTCCCCCAAATTTTGGGGGGGCCGTGGCCCCCCTGGACTGTATGTAGATCCTCCCCTGAATGTCGTCGAAATAGAAATTGCATTTGCTCTATAAGCTAATAATAATTAAATATTTCATCATTTCTTCCTGATAATTTGACCTTCATTTTCTGCTTGCTTTGTTTGCACTACATACAAACTAACTGTCTGGACCCTTGTAACTTCACAGGCTTTTGAAGATTAACTTACCAGCTGGTGCCCATCCAACTGCGATTGCTTTCTCTGACGGAGCTTCCTCTGTGATTGTAGCAGCTCAGGTTCTCTCTGGTTCCTCCCTTTTCATGTACGGGGATGTAACTACAAAGCCTTCAGGTGAAGGGAAGCAGGGAAAACTTCCCTCTCCTGAGATTAAATGGGAGCATCAGAAGGTACATGATCACAGGTCTGTGTTGACAATGACAGCAGTTTCTTCGACCTATGGCCATGGAAATGGGAGTACAATTGTTGCCTCGTGTTCAGAAGGTGCCCTTTTTTGAACACTTTGGTTAAGGCATAACCGGAAGTTGCACTAAGTTACACTTTGTGGAGTCTGTGAAACATACTCCATTTTTTCTCTTAACCCTTATTTAAATTTGTAAACCATTACTTCAACCTTTTTTAAAGCTCTTTCAACCGAAGGCTGCATAAACTGGGTGTTAAAATGTGCACCTTCTTCTTTCTCGACCTTTTTTCCTTTGGAATGTCTCTGGAAGATCATAGAGTATATTAGACACTGTTCAGTAATTAGCTAGGATGATGGCAAGAGTTTGCAAATCAATGAAGCCACTGCTTGCTATTACCGACTTCTCCATCTCCACTCTTCTCTAATCGGTTTATACTTTTATATTCATTTTTTTCATTCTGCTTGGCAACTAGCTTGTTGTGAGGGAATTAGAGGGAACAATGGGGTGATAGGCAAAGAGAGTTTAGGAAAATAAATGAAGAAAGAAACTGAGAGAGACCGTAGAACGTAATGCTACTAAAGTCACCATTCTAGAATTCCTTTTCCCCCCTTTCCTTTTACACTTTTTGTTGTCATGTACTTCATTCTTTTTCTTCCTTATTTCCACTATGTACAATAAGGAACCTATGGTTACAATACTGAGCGGAAAATCATATATTGACATATATTGTAATATTCTCTATTTACATATGATTATTTTGTTAAATGGATCCGGTTGTTTGTAGAGTTTTTCGCTAGTGTAGCTTCAAATCTAAGTTATTTTATCTACCATTTAGTGGTGATTGGAAGACGATATGGTAATAGGAAGTAGATATATTTAGCAGGAAAAACTTACCAGCTGGTGCCCATCCAACTGCGATTGCTTTCTCTGACGGAGCTTCCTCTGTGGTTGTAGCATTAATGCAAGAAGCCATGAAGCCAAAAAAGAAATAAATTCTAGGAATAGACCATGTCCATTGTGAGGAAACCATACATTGATTAATACCCATAAACCAAACAAATCAAATTCAAACTGGGGTACACCCAAAACTAATATTAGTCCCTTAAATAATAGGTATTTTCCATATTAGTCCCTAAAATCTTCATAATTTTGATATTAATCCCCCAACTTATCTTAATATGTTGATATTAGTCCCTCTTCTTAGTTATTTGATGACAAAATGGATAGGGCATATCCAGTTTTCTTTAACTATTTTCTTGAATGGATAGTTATATCCCTCCCCTGCTCCCCTCCAACCTCCACCCCCTCCACTCTACCCTTGACCACCACCACTGCCCCCTCTCCGCCCTTTCTTCCCTCTACTGGGTTCTCTCCAATAATCTTAAAAATTTGAAACGAGTATGGGAGAGTTGTGATGGAGAAGATGGTGGTGTTGAGTCTCGTGACATTATCGGTGGAGGTGGTGATATGAAGGAGGTGAAAACATCAGCAGAGGATGAGATGGAGGTGGAGGTGAGGATACCAATGGTGGTGCAGATGGCGGAGGTAGAGATGATTGAATATTGGCGGATGAGGGGAGGGTGGTGGAGGAGAGGGGAGAGAGAGGGAGGGGGTAAGAAAGTAATGCCTCACCCATGATTAGTGTTGACGCAACCATGGTTTAGGATTTGAATGGTAAACCTAACAGAGGGACACGTTAAAGTAATGTAGGGGACTAATATCCAAATACCTTTGATATAAGGGACAAACAAGTAAAATTTTCTTAAAAAGTATAACCTCATCCCAAGTTTTTGTGACGTGAAACGAACTTTAAGATGGTATCATAATGCTAGATTTCAGGAGGTCATGAGTAGAAAACATATCGGTATCATTTTAACAAATATTTATTTACTCCATTCTACTTGATCAAACGAGTTCAGCAAAATATCTTTTCACATGGTTGGAGCCCCAACGGAGTGCTAGTATTGACTTAGTTTATTATATATTGTTAGCCAATAACACGTAGCTCAATAGTTTGTTATATATTGTTAGCCCATAATACATAGCTCAATAGTTTGGATAAATGGTTTTTACTACATGCTCCCATAGCCGCTTAACTCCAAATGCAGTTGGATGCATATTTATAAAGTTGATCAAACACAATTTCGACAGAAAATGTTTCTTCCCAGGCACATGGAGTGGTTAAATATAAAACTATAAACTTCAATCTTCGTCACCTTCGAAGTCTTGATGTAGAAATTTCTTTAAAGTACCATAGTCCATTATGATGACAGGGGTTGTGCGGTTCGTAATGCAAGTGAGCAACTCAAATCTCTTGGTGGGTGCTATAGTTACTTTCACATGAAAGAATCCAATTGTCATGCATTTTAACTTTCTTAGGTTGGTTAACTCGAAAGGTGGATCTGAAATTTGGTCGTAAGTTGTAGTCTATTATACGTGGCTGTCCCAAGAGGTTGGTTTGAATTTAATTCAGACACGAGGTTAAAAATATGGTTAAACTTGCATGGCTAGGAAGGTGAAGTTATGAGCATCAATCAGAAACAACCTAATGTATTGTCAAAATGTTGATTGTTAGACTTTTTGTCCCATTCAATTAGAGCATCAAGTTAAGGAGCCATTAGAGTCCATATTTTAGTCCCTCATTGGATGTAGTCATGTGGAGCGAGAATATGAGTTCTCAATTCATGGCTGAAAAAAAATCAAAGATCTAGTTGGTTAATCTTTTGGATTGAAGCAGTCTTGATTTTCTATTAGTGGACTGGGATGATCTCTACCCTCAGAGGCAATTTTGTATTACACCAAATGGGGTAAGATGTGGTGGGTTCATAACTCATCATTTTGAATTTAAGCGTATATCTTTTACCCATATTTTTCGTCTTTACATGCAAATTCAACTGGAGGCTTTATAATCCGATGCTGAAGGTTTGTTAGAAGGAGAGTAACAAGTATTGAAGTTTGCTTGATATATATTAATATCTGACAGCCCAAAGACTTAGACTTTTGAATAACATGGTATCCTGATGGTTTGTAATCCAAATTTTTTTAGGAGCTTGATGGCTAGATGACTACAGACAATATTCTATAGGAAATCATTTCCAACCATTCCAACTTATTGCTATAACTACTAGCATTACCTTTGCAATTTAGGTGTGCTAAGATGTAGTTGTTTGCCTATTAGAGTTTTCAATTTTAGGAATTTATGAAAGGTTTCATCATCTTATTTTATAGGCTTACAATCTATAAATCCAGTTTTGTATAGCGCTGACCTAGGTTTTCAGAACACTTCATCTGGGCTCCCGTACTTTTGTTTGACACTTCCTGTATATTCAAGCGTGTACTCAATTATATAATGTGTTTTAGTTTAAAACACTCGTGATACACTTCTTATACGTATATCTTACACATTATCTTAAATTTCTGCAACTTGTTAGACTTGGATCAGGTTTGTCAATCTATACTTAATTCATAAGTATGATTTTAAAAGGTCGTTTGGGTATCTAGTTTTAAAAAAATTTCAATTCGTACTCATATCATACTCCCTTTAAAAATGGGAGTTTTTTAAAAAAATTTCATGGACTATATTACCTATATTCTTTTTGATATTAAATTCTAATCCTAACTAAACTAAATTAGTTATCATTGCTAATTAATTATATTATATACCACTTCAAATTTGTATAACTTGGTCCATAAAACTTCCGATGTTGTTGTGAAACTCTACACATATTAAATATTAGCAATGTATAATAATATATTTAATAGAAAGTTACATATTAATAAATTATAAGGAAAGAGTAGGAAATATAGAATTGTCCTAAAATGACACCATGACATACATATAGGAAAATTACAAAGAGAATTCTTACGTTTAGACAACATGACAAAAGGTACAAACATGCAACTTTAGAAAACATTAGGACTTTTAAGTGCAACAAAATTCAAGTGGAGGTATATAAGCACGATTTTTGTATTCAAGTTTAGTTAAGCCTACAAAGATTTGAAATCTTTGTTAACCACAAGCAATAGTATAAGATCTCATTGAAAAATAATATTCATCATATAATATGTGGTCAGATGCTTAGCTTATATTTGTGTAGTAGGGGAGATATGAAAAGCATCATATTTTTAATGTCTCAGATTATTTCCTGGAATATATATACTTTGCTTAGAAAACTTTCAAAGGTCCGTTTGAAGGACTACTACAAAGTGTTGGATATCAGATAAATATTAGACAGCCAAATCCTTATCGAATTGCTGAAATCGAGGATATATTAGGGATATATAAAAAATACCGGGGTATCATATGAGATAATGTTCATACATACATTGTAATTTGTAATCTAAACATATTAATAATACATAACATAACATTGTTAAGTTGTAATCTAAACATATTAATGAATTCTAAACATCAGAATTTGGATCATGATATATGCAGATTTGGGAGGGCCGAGAGTGGAGAGATGCGGGAGACGGTTTGTGGCTTCTGGTTGGGTTTCCAAACATGAATCCACAATCAAATTAAAAATGACTCGATTTTGTCAATATCTTTAAAGAGATATATTGGTCGATATTTTCGATAAGGGCTGATATACCGGGAAAAATCCCAAAACAAGGAAAACAATATAAAACCATAAATATCATCGCGATAAGATTTTCAAAGTAATATATTGGCCGATATAGCACTTGATCGACGAGTATTTAATACATTGCCTATAAGAGCAAATATTTAAAGGTTATTTAGATATTACTTCGTTGATTTTTGATTTTAAATTTTCAATAATTCTATATTATTCCCTAAAATTTTTGAAATTGCTCGTAATTTTAGGGACAATTATTGAATTTTTAAAGATTTGAGGGACAACTATGTATATAAGCCATATTTAATTTTTGAAAACCCTCTCAAGTATGAGGATTGTCTCAAAAAACCCACTTAATTGATTTAATTTGAAAACCCCCCTAACTATGGGGTGTTGTAGCTAGCCCCCCTCAACTTTGGTGTTATTTTAGAATACACCATTCAGCTATAACATGTCTTATAAAAACTCCCATGATCTTTTACACTTCTTAATAAACCCCCTTGGTAGTCACTTCAATATATGATTTGGACAAAAATACCCAAAAAACCCATTTTAGTTAAAAAGAAACCCTCAACGGATAATAAAAGGACCATGACCAATTTATAATTCTTTTTCTCTTTATATCTCTTCTTTTTCTTTCATCTGACAAAAAACCAAGGTAATTCTTTTATGGTTGAGGGATGTTTAGTATTTCCAAGTCAACTACTTGTCACATAAGAGATTAGACTCAACGATTATTAGTTTCGAGGGGTTAAGTGAGAAACATTCGGGGGGTTAAATCAAATTTTCGAAGTTGAGATGGATTATCTATAACACCCTAAACTTGAGGGAGATTTACTCAATTTCAAATAGTTAAGGAGTTATTTTGAAAAGTTGAGGAAGGAGTTTTCTTAAATTAATCTTTAAACTAAGCAGCACTTAGGGCACATGTAACATTGATTTTATAAGAGTGGATTTTATATCAAGTATATCACTCAAGGGACTGATTCAGATTATTTGTCCTTAGGTTTATCCTGTATGTCAAACTTTAAAAATATTTTGCTATAAGAATCGCTAAGAGAAATTTACTCTTTATTTGGGATGAGTATGTGATCCTTCTGATTCTCCTTCTCCATCATGAGCTCTAACTAATTATTTCATAAAATAAATTAAATTGTTCATTTTATATTACTCACCTTCTTGTAATTTTATGAAGCATATAGCTCGGAATATGAGTATTGTTGCGGATATTGAATTCTTTCTTCTAACTCCTTAACCTAAAATTTTTAATGTTGTTTGACATTGGGTAGATCTGAATTATTTTGTTAAAATACAATCCATATGAGTGCATAATATGTATAATCATTCTCAGATTATATTTTATAATTTTCTGAAACTAGAAAGTAATTATTTTGACAAATCAATTAATTAATTGGGACGATGTAGAAGGATTACTATATCAAATTTTGGAATTGATCACATAATTTGTGTTTTCTTTCTTGAATTTGCACATTCTATAGAGAATTATAGAAGAAGTCTTTTGAATTACTATAATACTTGGTCGCCGGCTATAAAGAACATGTGGAAGTGATTTCTTTATATAACTAAGCAAAATCCTATATAACTAAATAAAACCTATTATTTTTCTTTGATGAATTTAAGAATTTATTTTTTCATTAATAATTAGAGTTTTTTTCGAGGTTGGTCCCTTGCATCATTAATATTTTTAAATTAGTCCTTCAAATTTTTAATATTTTAAGATTTTAAGCTTCACTATTTCTCTAAAAGGCAAAATGTTAAAACAAGCAAGGTTTTATGCATGGAAATATCCAAAATTTTTAAATACATTATGATAATCATAAACATTTTTGCAACCATATTATAGTAAATAAATAAACCTAAAAGAAAAAAGTAAGATATTTAACCTTGTGTAATGGATGTGCATTCCACCTAGTCTACTCAATAAAAGAATCATAGAAATGTTATACGGATTTTATTTCTCATAAAATGTGAATGAAAAAACAATATTGATCTCATATAGCTAGTTAATTTGTATTCCCGTATCCTACCTTTTACAAATTTGTTGTGTCCCGTGTCCGCACTAACCGTGTCCATATCCGCACCCGCACCCATACATATGCAACATACACGCTTTATAGTGTTTGCACAATCTACTTAGTTGATCTCTTGTGCTAACAACTTTTTGCTGTCTTTCTGCTTCCAACTGTTTGGCTAATTCAATAGTTTTGGTACAAGCCTTTGTGCTATACTGCTACTTGATTTCCAAAAGTTGCGCTGTAGTTTAGCGCAAGTTCACATTGAGTGGGTTTTTTTTATTTTTAATTTCAGTGCATTATTAATGCTTTCAGGTACCTTCTATGAATATTTCACCATATATAACATTTGATGAAAAGTTGTGTCAGTTCTTGGAAAAACAGAAAGAGACCAATGTATAAACAAAACATGTAGGGTATACATGTGTATATACTAATTGTTCATTATATTCCATTCAGGTACTGACATTAAACTTTGGCATGGAAAAGATGGAAAAGAATTGGGAACAGTTGATACTAACTCTACTTGATAATTCTGCATTTAGCTTGTGAATGCATCATCTCATGTACAAGCTGAATGCATTTGATTGTTGGCATCGAACTGCTTGCAAGAATTATTGTTAAGTAATTTAGGCGGAATAGGTTCAGAATGGTGGCATCTGAAATTTGCCATGAAAGTGAAATATTCTGGTTTTTAGACGAAAGTATTGTTACTGTCTGTACTGTAGGAAGCATGATATTGTCATAAACATGTCTTTCCAATCTGCATTTATGGGAGATAACTTTTAAAAGCTAAAAGAATCTGGTTTAGAGTAACATTGGAAAATTTCTTATATTTTCTAATTTTTTTTGTTTCCTAAAGTAAATATTTGAATGGAGTGATAAATCCCCAAGGTTCTAAGGATCATGACATTAAAAAGTTTTATTTTAAATATATTTTTATTTTTATTTACTTTGGTAGTGTTTTCTTTCTCTGAGCGTATACCTTTTATAGACAAACAACTGATTAACGGTCTAGTTTATTACGATTTTAAAACTATCAAAGCAACAAAAAGGTTTCATGTACTGTGAAGCATCAGAATGCTTATAACATGTGCTAAATCATTTTGTTGAGATGCTGATGCAAACTCCATTTTCCTGAACAGATTTCATGTTGATGTAGTCATGATAAGGATTAATGATCGACTTATACCGATATTCACATCATATAGGATCTCTAGCATGCCGGTCCAGAAAGTATCTATCAACATTGACTAATAATGTCAACTAAAGGTGATCTTTGATTTGAATGAGAGTTTAATATTTGGAGGAAAAAATTAAAAGGGTAAACCGCAGATAACCCCGAATTCCTACCTTCAGTATCACTTGTCATCCCGGAACTCATTTGTTAACACTTAGCATATCATTTCTGAGTTCATATGGGGCAAGGGGGCTGTCAACAATTTTCCCTTACAGGTGATAAATGCTGCAAGTTGAGGGGTGATAAAGTTATTGAAGGTATGGATGATGGGGTATTTGCAATTTACCCAAAATAGCAAATGAAAAGAACTTCATGAATTGAAGTTTGTGTCTAAACTTATTCTATCTATTGATAATTCAAACGGGGAGCTGCTAAACCCATACCAATGAAGGATATCTTAAACAAAACTCTACTCAATAAAAGAATCATAGAAATGTTATACGGATTTTATTTCTCATAAAATGTGAATGAAAAAACAATATTGATCTCATATAGCTAGTTAATTTGTATTCCCGTATCCTACCTTTTACAAATTTGTTGTGTCCCGTGTCCGCACTAACCGTGTCCATATCCGCACCCGCACCCATACATATGCAACATACACGCTTTATAGTGTTTGCACAATCTACTTAGTTGATCTCTTGTGCTAACAACTTTTTGCTGTCTTTCTGCTTCCAACTGTTTGGCTAATTCAATAGTTTTGGTACAAGCCTTTGTGCTATACTGCTACTTGATTTCCAAAAGTTGCGCTGTAGTTTAGCGCAAGTTCACATTGAGTGGGTTTTTTTTATTTTTAATTTCAGTGCATTATTAATGCTTTCAGGTACCTTCTATGAATATTTCACCATATATAACATTTGATGAAAAGTTGTGTCAGTTCTTGGAAAAACAGAAAGAGACCAATGTATAAACAAAACATGTAGGGTATACATGTGTATATACTAATTGTTCATTATATTCCATTCAGGTACTGACATTAAACTTTGGCATGGAAAAGATGGAAAAGAATTGGGAACAGTTGATATTTACTGCAGATGTGAAGGTATGTTTTCTACTTGATAATTCTGCATTTAGCTTGTGAATGCATCATCTCATGTACAAGCTGAATGCATTTGATTGTTGGCATCGAACTGCTTGCAAGAATTATTGTTAAGTAATTTAGGCGGAATAGGTTCAGAATGGTGGCATCTGAAATTTGCCATGAAAGTGAAATATTCTGGTTTTTAGACGAAAGTATTGTTACTGTCTGTACTGTAGGAAGCATGATATTGTCATAAACATGTCTTTCCAATCTGCATTTATGGGAGATAACTTTTAAAAGCTAAAAGAATCTGGTTTAGAGTAACATTGGAAAATTTCTTATATTTTCTAATTTTTTTTGTTTCCTAAAGTAAATATTTGAATGGAGTGATAAATCCCCAAGGTTCTAAGGATCATGACATTAAAAAGTTTTATTTTAAATATATTTTTATTTTTATTTACTTTGGTAGTGTTTTCTTTCTCTGAGCGTATACCTTTTATAGACAAACAACTGATTAACGGTCTAGTTTATTACGATTTTAAAACTATCAAAGCAACAAAAAGGTTTCATGTACTGTGAAGCATCAGAATGCTTATAACATGTGCTAAATCATTTTGTTGAGATGCTGATGCAAACTCCATTTTCCTGAACAGATTTCATGTTGATGTAGTCATGATAAGGATTAATGATCGACTTATACCGATATTCACATCATATAGGATCTCTAGCATGCCGGTCCAGAAAGTATCTATCAACATTGACTAATAATGTCAACTAAAGGTGATCTTTGATTTGAATGAGAGTTTAATATTTGGAGGAAAAAATTAAAAGGGTAAACCGCAGATAACCCCGAATTCCTACCTTCAGTATCACTTGTCATCCCGGAACTCATTTGTTAACACTTAGCATATCATTTCTGAGTTCATATGGGGCAAGGGGGCTGTCAACAATTTTCCCTTACAGGTGATAAATGCTGCAAGTTGAGGGGTGATAAAGTTATTGAAGGTATGGATGATGGGGTATTTGCAATTTACCCAAAATAGCAAATGAAAAGAACTTCATGAATTGAAGTTTGTGTCTAAACTTATTCTATCTATTGATAATTCAAACGGGGAGCTGCTAAACCCATACCAATGAAGGATATCTTAAACAAAACAAAAGAAAAGAACATTCTAGAGCTGTACTTTCATTATCACGTTTTATTAGACTATTTGTAATCACCTTTGCATTACGAAGTTGTGTGAAACTTAGGAACTCCAAAAATATGTGATGGAAGAAGTGTTTTGCTAATGCTTTGAAATGGACCGTGATACTTTTCTAGTGGATTGCACTTATCTCTGGACGCGATGTATGCGCTGATGAGGAAGTAACTTAGATGTTGGGCATATCACTGAGTGTTGTTTAATCTTTAAAGGTGCTTCATCTGTAAAGCTACCTAACCTGACACAGTTAAGGAAGTTTTGCTTTGAATTTAAGGTTATAGGTGATCTCTGAGTGGGGACTTTATACCAATAAAGTCAGTGGATGGTTTTTTTTAACATACGGCCTTTATTTTGACAATATCTAACAGGTCTAGATGAGTTAGACATTGACTATCTGTGATATCCAAAACTTTTATTGTTGGTAATTTTAGTTCTATTATGAGTTAGATGATGTTTGGTATGATCTTGCAATAACTAATTGATAGTGAAATGGTTGAGGTGTCAGCTATGTGGAGAGAGGCGAGGACACTTGTCCCTTAATTAGGGGGTGGAGGAAAATACTTTATTCGAAAACGGTATGTTATAAGTTAAAAACAGTGCACTTTGTTTCAAAAGTAACATGTAATATAAACAATGCATCTCAAGGAGTAGTATCCCATAATAACACTGAAAGTGTACTTAAGATAATAAAGGTATGTAAGGCTTAGTAATAGAACCTATATAGGCTGATAACATAATAGCTCAATCATAGACAAAATATTTTAAGTAAAACAAATATCTGTTTATCACAATAAGTAATGTATATAGAACAACAACAACAACCAAGCCTTTATCCTAAATGTTTGGGGTCGGTTACACGAATCCTATTTTTACATTCCATTCTGTTATAAGTTATCTCCTCCATTAAGTTAGTCCTAACTATATCCTTCTTAATTGCTTTTAACCAAGTCATTTTAGGTCTACATCTAGATCTCCTAGCCTCATTAACTCTAATATTATCGTTTTTCCTAATCGGTACATTAAGGGGTCTCCGGTGTACATAACCAAACAATCTTAATCTATTCTCTCTCATTTTATCCTCAATAGGAGCATCCTCTAATTTACTACAGATGCACTCATTTTTTATCCTATCTTTTAATGTATACCCACAAGACTATCACAACATTCTCATTTCTGCTACACTCATTTTTTAAACATGTTTTTAAATTGCCTAACACTCTAACCAATAAAGCATAGTTGGTCTAATAACCGTCCTTTAGAATTTTTTCTTTAGTTTTATTGGTATTCTATTATCACATAAGGCTCCCGAAGTACTTCTCCATTTCAACCATCCCGATTTGATTCAATGCACAACATTATCCTCTATCTTATCATCATGTCTAATGATTGATCCTAAATAGCAAAAATGATTAGTTTTATGTATTTTTTGACCATCAATATGTATCATAGTCTCTCTTCCTTTCCTAGTATTACTAAAAATACACTCCATATATTCTGTTTTTGTTCTACTAATTCTAAAACCTTTAGATTCAAAAGCTTGTCTTCATCTTCCTACTTTAGAAATAATCTCTCTTTTAGTTTCATCAACTAATAGTATATCATCAGCAAATAACATGCATCATGAAATTTCATCGTGAACATGCTTAGTAAGTTGGTCCATAATTATTGCAAAAAGATAAGGACTTAAAGTTGACCATTGGTGTAAACCTATGGTAATAGAAAATGGTTTAGTCTCTCATTTATTAGTTCTTACTCTAGTTATTCTATCATACATATCTTTAATCACATCAATATATACTAGATACATGTTTTTTTCTAACACCCATCACATTACCTCTGTAGGCACTATCATAAGCTTTTTCTAGATCGATAAAAATTATATGTAGATCTTTTCTCTTCTCTCTATATCTCTCCATCAACCGTCCCAAAATATATATAGGTTTCATAGTTGACCTCCCATGCATACAATCAAATTAATTTTTATATATACTTGTCTCCTTTATTAGTCTTTGCTCAATTACCTTCTCCCAAAGTTTCATAATATGACTCATGAGTTTTATACCTCGATAATTTGAACAACTTTGTATATCTCCTTTATTCTTGTATATCGGTATCAAAGTACTAATCCTCCACTCATCCAACATTCTTTTCGTCTCGATAATCTTATTTAATAGTTTAGTTAACCACCCTAAGCTTATATCTCCAAGATATTTCCAAACTTCAATAGGGATATCATTTGGTTCTACGGCTCTTTCACTTTTTATTTTTTTAGAGCATTTTTAATCTCGCTAATCCTAATTTTTTGACAATATCTATAGTTCTTATCATTTACTATATGGTCAAAATCTCTATTTTGTTTATTTGTTTGGTTATCAGTAAACAATTGATAAAAATAACTCCTCCACCTTTCTTGTATTTCCCCGTCGATCACCAGAACTCTTTGATCCTTACTTTTAATACACCTAATATTACTCAAATCTCTACTCTTCCTTTCTCTAATCTTAACAAGCTTATATATATCTTTCTCTCCCTCCTTAGATTCTAACTTTTTATAAAAGTTTTTATAAGCATTGTATTTATTCTCACTGACCGCTCTTTTTGCTTCCTTACAAGTTTATATATTTTTAATTTTTTCCTACTCCTACACTTTTGCTATTCTTTATATAAAATTTTCTTCTCTCTAATAACCTTTTGCACACTCATTCTACCACAAACTCTCATTACCATCTAATTTACAATCTTTAGATTCTCCAAGTATATCTTTAGCCACTTTCCTAATACAAAGAGATATGCTATTCCACATAATATTAGTCTCATTATTTATATTTCATATATATTTTTTATTATCTTTAAAGTGTATTAAATTCTCTTCTTTTAAATTCCACCATTTAGTTCTTTAGTCTCTTGTTCACGTTAGTTTTTCTGTTGCACTTCTTAATAGATATGTCTAAGACCATTAATCTATATTGTGTATTTAAACTCTCGTGATATAACTTTACAATCTTTGCATATTAACCTATCCGCCCTTCTAGTAAGAAAAAAGTCTATTTGACTATTATTAACATCACTTTTAAAGGTTATTAAGTGTTCATCCTTTTTCTAAAAAGTGTATTTGCTATTATCAAATCATACGATATTGCAAACTCTAAAATTGATTTACTCATAGCGTTCATATCTCTATACTCGAAACCTCTATGTATCCTCTCATATCCATTATTATTCTTACCAACATGCCCATTAAGATCTCCTATAAATAATTTCTCTCCAAATATGATTCCATGTACTAATTCATCTAATCTATCTCAAAATTCCCTTTTAGTACTCTCGGGCAAGCTTATTTGTGTTGCGTAAGTACTAATAATATTAATAACTTCTACACCTAAGATAACTTTTATTAGTATTATTCTATCTCCAACTCTTTTTAGCTCTACAACACTTTCTTTTATTATATTATCTACAAGAGTTCCCACTCCATTCCTATTCTTCTCTTTTCCTATGTACCAAAATTTATATTCGGTCTTTTTAATTTCTCTAGATTTTTCACCTATTCATTTAGTTTCTTGTAAGCAAATTATATTTATTTTTCTTCTAAGCATGACATTTATTAATTCCATAGTCTTTTCGGTAAGTGTACCTATATTCTAAGTAGCTAATCTAATTCTATTTTCCTGCAAAAGTCTCATACTATTTTTCCTCTTAGACCGTCTAGTCTATGCCTAATACTATTTGGTAACTTATTAGAGGATTGTAGATTTTGGGAACATCATTGCTTACTTGTCATTACACCGGGATGACATCAATGTAATGCGTTGCTTCCGGGAGATGTCCTAGCAAACCACTATTGCTTACTTATCATTGCATCGGGATGGCATTGATGCAACGCGTCGCAGTGGGGACGCCCTAACGAGTATATTATAGGATTCATTTTTATGTGGAACCAACTATGTTTTACGCTGGCTGTCGGCTACCTACCTTAGGACATGCAATGCTGACAATAAACACAGCACTGGCGGAGTTACAATAAGTAATGTATATGATTACTGAAAACATATTAATCATTTTTTATTTAGAAATTATTTTTTGTTCTTCATAGGTAGGATCACTTTATTTTAGAAGTCTTATATCGTAAACCGATTAAGTTGAACCATAAGTCTATAAGTTGACAAGAGAAAACAATATATAGAATGAATTACCATAATTAAAAATTTCCTCATTAGAAAATTGATTAAAAAAAATCTGAAGATACATAATTAATAGATTAAAAAATTAATGTCATCAGATTTTTTTAATGTGGAATTCTCAAATATTTATTTTATTTGGAGTTAGTCAACCAAATATTTCATTAAAAAATAGAAAAAAAATCTTGAGTGAGAGGGAATATGATCATTTCTCTGTTATTCAATTTTTAGATTTTTTTTGAACTATGCAATAAGATGACCACTTGTTTGTTAAAATTTTGGTTTATGATTTTCGGCTTTCCAGTCCTTGAAAAGGCAGTGCTGTGCTAAATAAAAACAAGTCTGATGGGTTAATCACAGAAGTTATTTTGTTAAAAGGGCTAATGTAAAGTCAAACCAAGGGTCTAAACCAAAATTTTTGGAACAAATAAGACTTCTTGATCAATGAGTTATGTATAATCAACTTGCATAATCTCAATTGCCAAGATAGGATTGAAGATTATGTATCCGCTAGCATGGGATGGTTCACACCAAGTGATATGGTGGACAATCCTTACATTTTTAATAAAATAATTTATGTTAAAAATTTCATAAAATACTTTCTCTAAGCGACACCAGACAAACCTGTAACCAGTAATGTCAGTATCGCTGTGTGTTTTCCTACTACCTTCCATTTATTGATTAAAAAAACGTTGCGTTACTTTACTGTCGTATTGCTGGTGCTGGGACATATTATTATGTGGTTTGCTGATGCTATCTTGTGAATCTTGTAGCAAAATATTAGAGTTTTTATATGGTCGCCCTAATATTTCCACAGAAGAAAATCTCTTTTTCTTTTTCCCTTAACTTGATTCATATCTGGTTTCTCGTTCAATGCTAAGTAGTAACATTACCACAACTTGGCACTAATTTATTTCACAACCTGTTAATGACTTTTTGTGCTCCGGGTTCCTGTTGTAGGTGTGGGAGATCATATATTCCAAGGATGCTTCAGTGAAGGAAGTTCTCAAAGTTATGCAATTGAAGGGGCATAAGGTAAGGAAGGCCATATTTGACGTGAATAGTTTATGATTCTGAATCTTCAAAAAATGTAACAAATTGTGCCCTATCAAATAAGCTTTGAGTTATAAATGAAATGATCCGTGGCTAGATGGAATCCCCCCAACAGCTGGAATCAGCCTCGCAAGTTTTCAAGTTTGTTATTGCCTATAAAGGGGGTCCTTGACATGGACTATTTAGTCACTCTCCCCCTTATTGTGTTTCATGTATGTACTTATTTCTGTTTGTTCACAGAGTGCAGTGACTTCTTTGTGCTTCACTCCAAATTCAGAGCAGATCATTACAGCATCAAAAGATGGTTCTTTAAGAATATGGAATATCAATGGTATGTTATGTTGGGTAGCTTGTTATTAATAAATTTCCATTAGTTTCTCTCCTCTATTATCGAAAGAACTATTGCGTAACTATGATCCTCACTATAAATGAGGGCTAGGCTGATCTAAGAGACTAAGACAACTTTTAACTTTGTTACCTCTCAGCCATCTCAAGTCATTTTGACCATCAACAAATAATGGTTCTCTACCTATTAGGAGAAACTATTTGTTTTTGTTTTTGTTTTTTTGTCCTCTCTTTTTGGTTAATAGGTCAATTCTGTTATATGTGAATAATACAATTTATTATCTCAAAATGCATTAATCCTATTACTCTTAGAACATCAAATATTCAAAATCTACAAAACACCTTGTCTGGTATGATCTTGTTGAGTTATTTAGATAGTAATTAGTCAATGCTGTGAGGACCTATTTGTAAGAGTGCCCTTATATAAAAGGGGTATCTCTCCATGAGTGAATGCAACCCTAATATTTTCCCAAAAAACTCTACATGGTATCAGAGCTATGTGGCGGCTCCTCTACCTTTTTTCCTTCGATCTGAAGCTTAATGGGGGAATCGTCGATCTGAAGCTTTCTCCTTGCTACGACGATCTGAAGCTTCCTCCTTCCTCCTCCCTCCTTCGTCCATCTTGATCTTCCTCAATCTGAAGCTTCCTCGAACCGGAGCTCCTCCTCCGTCCATCAAACTCGCAGATCTGAGGATTCTCGAAGAAAGGCTCCATGTCGAGCTCGTGGATCTGCTCCATCCACTCGTGGTTCTGCTCCATCCGCAGCCTCTCTTTCATCCATCTCCAGTAGAGCTACCAGACAGGGAGAAGACAAAGAAGAAGGGCCAAAAAAAAAAGAGGTGAAGGAGAAAGAAAAGGTAGCAGGAAACAGGAAACAAGAAAGACACGACCTGAAGAGGAGACAAATGTTAGAATATCGACAGAAGGGTTTCTTCGATCTGACAGCTCTCTTCGTCCATTGATCTGAAGACGGGGACGAAGCCTGGTGAGGAGACGGAGACTGAAGAGGAGCTCGGAGAAGACGAGATCCCAAGCTGGAGATGAGAACAACGAGCTCGAAGTCGATCTCAGAACTTGGAACTCGAAGAAGAGCTCCCAATTTGAAGAAGATGAGCTGGAGATATAGAACTGGGTTGTTGCTGAATAGGGGATTTGTTTGTTTGTGATTCGGGGACTTTTGGGGAAGAGGAGATGAGCTGATTAGATCCAAAAAAAGGAAAAAGAAAAAAGAGGGATGTGTAACTGTTGTGATTAGTAATCTGTATTAAAAAAAAAGGAGAGAGGTTCTTGATTTGTAATAGTTTATTTAGGTTCCCTCGACAAGTCAGTCCTAGAACTGATGAGAGAAGAGCTGATATCTCACTTTGTTGAGATATCTTGCTTCTGGTTCTTGTTTCCTTGGTGAAACAGGAATTCTTGTTGATCTATCTATCTTGTTGTATTGTCGAAGTGCTGCCGGATTTTTTTCGTTACGCACCACAAGAATTCAAGTTGGATCGATGACAAAGACTGGAAAAAATCCGATGGAGGAGATCATCAAGAAGTTGAACAACCTGAGGGTATTCAAGATCGAGAAGGAGATCAGCGGTATAGTCCAGGGAGAGAGGACTGTACAGGAGTACGCCACAGAGCTGGAACGCTTGTGGCTCGATCACGATTACTTCTCGCCCCTAGCGAGCTACAAGGACCCTGAGTGCAAGGAGCGCGAGGCCTCTTTGCAGAAGAGGACCATGTCGTTTCTCCGAGGTTTGGCTCCAGCGTATGAGCAAAGGACGGCATTGTTACTAACCCAGACGAAGATCCCACCATTGGAGAAGGCAGTCGGCCATGATACAGGAGGAGAGTCGTATCAGGCTACAGTCTGAGATAGGTGGACTTAGAGGGGCGAAGTCTGCACTAGTGGTATCTAACCCGGATAACACTGGATTCAGAAGGGAGACTAGGCAGTGTTTCAACTGTGAAGAGGTAGGGCATCTGAGACAGTTTTGCCCTAAGCCACCCAAGAAAAGGAACTAGGGTGAACGTGGTCAGACTGGTGGCCGTGCAGGTCGAGGAGGCAGGGGGCGTGTAAGCCAAGGAGTTGCCAGGTCGAGGAGGCAGGGGGCGTGTAAGCCAAGGAGTTGCTCACCTAGCTGTGGCAGATGAATCTCAGATCACTGCTGGGATGACTGGAGCTGAAATAACAGAGCTAGAGGAACTACGTCTGTTCAAGCTTCAGGCTGAGAGGTCGAAGGGCAAGGGACAAGTCACCCAGGATCTAGCTATCACTACATGTTTTGGTAACTTTATTGGTTATACTCATGCGACCAAAGGTACACAGGTTCAGGCACTTACATCCACTAAAACTCATGTTGATTGGATCATAGATTCAGGTGCGTCTAGGCATGTTACAGGAATATCTAGTGAGTTTGTATTATATTATCCAAGTAAACATATGCATCTTGAGACAGTTCAGACTGCTGATGGGACATCCCAACCCATCAGGGGTACTGGCTCGGTCCATTGCACTTCATCTGTTACCTTGTCATCTGTATTGCATGTTTCTTCGTTTCCAGTTAACTTACTCTCAGTTAGCTCTCTCATTGACCAATTAAATTGCACCGTGTTATTTGATCGAGATTTGTGTGTCTTTCAAGAGAAGGAAACAGGGAGGAGGATTGGGACTGGCATCAGACGTGATGGTCTTTGGTATTTGGACAGGGAGACTGCAATGATTGCTGCTGCTGTTAGCGGAGGGCCAGAGGCAGAAGTAATGCTTCAACATTGCCGGTTAGGGTATTTATCTTTTGAGAGTTTAAATACATTAGAACCTGAGTTAATGAAGAAAGTGGATAGAAAAGAGTTATTTTGTAATGCCTGTGAACTTGGAAAACATACTCGTTCTACTTATAGAATGGTTGGTCTTCGAAGTTGTGAACCATTCGCACTTGTCCATTCTGATGTTTGGGGACCATGTCCTACTACCTCCATCAGTGGTTTTAGATGGTTTGTTACTTTCATTGATTGTTATTCACGTATGACCTGGATATACATGATGAAGCAGAAATCAGAAATGTTTTCAAGATTTCTCAGCTTATGTGAAGACACAGTTTGGAGTGCAGGTGAAGATTCTTCGAACAGATAATGAGACTGAGTATGTCAATAAGGAGTTTGCAGCTTTCATCTCTAATCAGGGAATTGTTCATCAAACCACCTGCCCAGACACCCCTGCTCAGAATGGGGTGGCTGAGCGTAAGAACAGGCATCTACTGGAAGTGGCACGCTCATTGATGTTGACAATGAATATGCCTAAGTTTTTATGGAGTGAGGCTGTTATGACAGCACCTTATTTGATCAACATGATGCCATCAAGAGTAGTAGGGATGAAGACACCATGTGAGATGCTTTTGGGCTCAAATGCTTTTGTTGTTCCACCAAGAGTGTTTGGATGCACATGTTATGTGAGAGATCACAGGTTGATGGTGAGTAAACTGGATCCGCAAGCAGTTAAATGTATCTTTGTTGGCTACTCATCAAGTCAAAAAGGATACAAGTGTTGGTGTCCCACTGAAAGAAGGCTGTTTGTTAGCATGGATGTGATTTTTCGGGAGTTTGAACCTTTTTATGGGGAGAAGACGGAGTTGAGTTCCTTGTTTGGAGATGGCTCTACTGATGCCAGTAGAGAGGGGGAGAATGAGAATGAGAATGATATTGTGGTCGGGATGATTCCATGTCCTCTTGAGTCACCGAGTAGTGATGGTACATCGCCGAGTAGTGGTGGTGACTTAGAAGTTGGTAGTCAAAATCAGGGGGAGCTGAGAGTATACACGAGGAGACAGAAACAGCAGCATGAGCCGCCTCCCGTGCCTGTGTCAGTACCCACAAATGTTGATGACCCAAGTCTCTCCTCTCCAGTGCCTTCCTCTTCCTCTCCAGTGCCTTGCTCTTCTCCTCCACCTGAGTCGATAGGTAACGATTCCTTCCCTGATACCTCTGATACTCCTGTCTTGCCCCGCAGAACCTCTAGAGTCAATGCTGGAAAACCTCCAGCTAAGTTTGGTAATTGGGATACTGATATTGCGAATTACATTTCATATGCATCCATTCCACCTGCATATAAGTCATTCATTGCATCGTTGCATTCAGTGCCTGTACCTAACAACTGGCAGGTAGCTAAGCAAGATCCTAGGTGGTTGAATGCCATGCACGAGGAACTCCAGGCCTTGAAGAAGAATAACACATGGGAGTTGGTACCTTTGCCAGCTGGGAAGCGTGCTGTTGGATGTAAGTGGGTGTATACGGTTAAGCAAACTCCAGAGGGCAAGATCGACAGATACAAGGCCAGATTGGTTGCTAAAGGCTACAGCCAAACATACGGCATTGACTATGACGAGACATTTGCTCCAGTAGCAAAGATGAGTACTGTTAGAGTGTTGGTGTCATGTGCTGCCAACTTTAATTGGCCACTACATCAGCTAGATATCAAGAATGCCTTTTTGCATGGAGATCTTTAAGAGGAGGTATATATGGAGATTCCACCAGGCTTCACTACTTCTCAAGTAGCTGGGAAGGTGTGCAAGTTGAAGAAGTCTTTGTATGGATTAAAACAGTCTCCGAGGGCATGGTTTGATAGATTCAGGTTGGCAGTTTGTGGTATGGGGTACAAGCAGTGCAATGGTGATCATACTGTGTTTTACAGGCATTCCAAAACTCGTATCACTATCCTGGCGGTCTATGTTGATGATATTGTAATCACTGGAGATGACGCTGAGGAAATCCTACTGTTGAAGAAGAAATTGGGAGAGGAATTTGAAGTTAAAGATCTGGGGCAGTTGAAGTACTTTCTCGGAATTGAAATTGCAAGGTCGCGAAAGGGTATAGTGCTTTCTCAGCGGAAGTATGCTCTGGATCTTCTCTCAGAGACAGGGATGTTGGGGTGCAGAGTTGCATCTACTCCTATTGAGCAGAATCATAAGATGATTGCCGAGGGTGGGGACCCTGTGAGTAAAGAGCAATATCAAAGATTGGTTGGACGACTTATATATCTATGCCATACGAGACCTGATATTACTCATGCAGTGAGCGTGGTGAGTAGATATATGCATGATCTCAGAGAGTAGCATATGGAGGTAGTTCGCAGAATTCTTAGATATATTAAAGGAAGCCCAGGAAAGGGGTTATGGTTCAGGAGTTTTGGACATCTGAGAATTGAAGGCTATTGTGATGCTGATTGGGCGGGTTGTATGGATGATCGTAGGTCCACTATAGGCTACTGTGTATTTGTTGGAGGCAATCTCGTATCTTGGCGTAGCAAAAAGCAAGATGTGGTGGCTAGGTCTACAGCTGAGGCGGAGTACAGGGCTATGGCAGTTTGTCTGTGCGAGTTGATGTGGGTCAAAAACATATTATCTGAGCTGCGCTTGTTTAGAAGAGACTCCTTACAACTTTGGTGTGACAACAAATCGGCGATTAATATTGCAAACAATCCAGTTCAGCATAATCGCACCAAACATGTGGAGATCGATCAGTTCTTTATCAAGGAGCAACTGAATAGAGGAGTTCTGACCTTGAGCTATGTGAAATCAGAAGAGCAGTTAGCTGATTGTTTAACAAAAGGATTAGGTTCTAGAGAGTGTGATATCTTTTGTAACAAGATGGGGATGATTGATATCTATCGCCCATCTTGAGGGGGAGTGTTGAGTTATTTAGATAGAAATTAGTCAATGCTGTGAGGACCTATTTGTAAGAGTGCCCTTATATAAAAGGGGTATCTCTCTATGAGTGAATGTAACCCTAATATTTTCCTAAAAAACTCAACAGATCTTAATAGTAGGATAAGAAGAAATTCTAATTTTTTCTATGCATCTTGCCTCAGAAAGGAAAGCAAGTTTAAACAGGCAGTTGAAGAGAAGCATTATTTGGTTCACATAAATTGCATATCCAGGCTGTCAATCATATGCTCGAGACATTTTATAACTAACCCCTTCACCCAAAATTTTAGAGGGTTTCAAATATCTGGACCTAAGATCTAATTCAACTGTTGATAAAAACTTTCATTATATGACACTTGATTCTTAATTACTAAGACTAGATAGTAGTTGTTATATATGTAGATATATGATTTTCTGTCCTAGTTTAACATTCATATGCTATTGTATAAGTAATTCAACATAGCACTTAAGGGAGGAATGAGTCATTGCTGTGAACTGATGTAGTTCTATATTAGGCATGCCCAATTAGCTTTTCAATGCTAGCTATTTTTTCATTTTCATTTATCACTTTTTCTCTTTCTTCATTAGGACAAAATTTTAAAAGAGCCCTATTTGCAAACTTATTCCCCCAAAACGACCCCTTTTAAATTTATTTGTCAAAACCGACCTGGTTTCAACTCCAAGGCTGTGAAACCAGGTCGGTTTTAGCAAAAAAAGTTCCCAAACTTCACGGGACATCAAGTCCTATGAAGTTTAACAACAATTTTGTTAAGCTGCTAAACTTCACGGGACTTGAAGTCTCAAGTCCCGTGAAGTTTCAAAGGTAAAAAAAGCTTCACGAGACTTGAAGTCCCGTGAAGTTTGAGCTGAATTTCCACGCTCTGAAAATTCAGCTTGTAACTTCACGAGACTTGAAGTCCCGTGAAGCTGCAGGTTTTAAAAAACATGCATAACAGGCTGTGCATGTTTTTTTATATACGCAACGTAACTCCTAAATGCATTACACAATAGATATACATGAAATTTTCGCCATGAATCAATCGATTTACATGAATCAAACAATATATACTGAATCAAACAATAATCACGAAAATACACCTGTGAATAATAATGGATCTCATACACACTGAATTACAACAATATTCTTAAAATTCAGTCATGAATTAAACACGAATCAAACAATACTCACGAAGATCACATATATAAACAATAATTGATCCACAAAAGTATGGTATTTGAAAAATCATAAAAGTTATAAATTTTAACAAAGCTGATGAGTCTCGATTATCTGAGTATCTGATTGTGTATGAGGCTGAGAAGTACCGGCTCCATCGTCATCGTCGCGTGGCCTACGTCGTCGCATGTACATTTGCCCAAATGATCAAGACCTGTCCTCACGACCTGCAAACTCATCGACATGAGTCTTATGAAGCACCTGTGCTATTCTCTGCTTGATCCTGTTGAAGACCCCTAACGCCGTCGGATCCTAAATCTCATGTGCTCATTAATATCAGCTTCAATGTCATCAAAAGCACGGACCTGCGAGTTAAACAATATGTACACAATTTAGCAAATAACATCTTAATAAAAAAATCACTGTTTTAATTTAGATTAGAAACTTACATAATCTCTGTCGATCATCCCACTAGGGATGTAACTATCTGTCGGTGGGTGTGGCAGGTGTCCAGCTGATGGCTGTGAGTTACGCATGATCCATTACATGTGACATCCCAATACCAACGTATATACGCTGTGTAGTCAACAGCTGTCTCTCGTATTCTATATCAAATCCCGTGAAGTTTTTTTTACCTTTGTAACTTCACGGGACTTCAAGTCCCGTGAAGTTTTTTGAAATTTGAAACTTCACGGAACTTCAAGTCCCGTGAAGTTTAGCAGCTTAACAAAATGGCTGTTAAACTTCACGGGACTTGAAGTCCCGTGAAGTTAGGGAACTTTTTTGGCCAAAATCGACTTAGTTTCATTCATGGGGCTGAAATCAGGTCGGTTTTGACAAATAAAGTTGAAAGGGGTCGTTTTTGGGGAATAAGTTTGCAAATAGGGCTCTTTTGAAAATTTATCATTTTTCATTATGAGTGGCCATTGTATTATGGTCCGGGTGCCCTATTAAAATGTTCTCTTGACTAGGGTAAGGTATCAGCAAACATGTACGGTTTAGCATTCTGAATTACATTTCATGTATTGTCTGAGAAACATATACATATATTTCCATTGTTCTGTGTCATGTCTCCAGCTTTCTTGTTACCTAAATCTGTGCTTTTTTGCTGCCAGTTCGTTATCATCTTGATGAAGACCCAAAGACCTTGAAAGTATTCCCAATTCCTCTCAAAGATTCAAAAGGTTTAACTTTACACTATGATCGCATCAGTCTCTCACCTGATGGGAAAATTCTGGTGACCACTTCTGGTTCTACATTGCAATGGCTATGCGCTGAAACTGGGAAGATTTTGGATACAGCTGAGAAAGCGCATGAAGGTTTGTAGACTTTCACTTTGCCTCACTGCTGTATATAGTGAGGATTTTTATTAAGTGTGTTACAGTGGCTCTCAGTTATCTACGGAAATAGACATACCTGCACAACTACATACATACAAATATACATTAATAGATATGGACATGTTTACTTATAGCCATATGCATACGCGTGTTCATCTGCGTGAGTGCATGTGGATGTATTTTTCCTTGACTGGCCAGTGACCAACTATAAAATGAAGGGTTATCATATGCATAGTTTAGAAGGCAAATTGTCTCCAGTTGATGAGATACCATCATCAGCTTAAAATATGATATCAACTGAATTCACGTAAGCACATTCATTTACAGAAATATACTTTATCTAATTTAAGTATTTGGTTTTGGTTTGTTTTGCTAGTGCATCTATATACTGATTTCCTTTTTTCTTTGTCATGAGAATATTCAATATATATTTTTCTTGCATGTCCCGTGACTTTCTTTCAGACTCCCTTTAGTTTCATTCATAACAATTATAATCAATTTGGAGCTATAAAGGTAATGAAACTAGAGATTGTTTGCATGTAACTTGTGACGACATAGCCACTAGCCGTACTTTCATATATAATTGACAATCATCATATAATTTTCATGTATAGATTTACAATCATGTAGTAAACAATTTTGATCTCCTACCAAAAGAGATCAGCTACATAATAAAACATGAGTGCCATTTGTGGGGAGGAAAGTAACTGTTTAAGACAGGACACAAGCAATGGGGACCCTTCACTGCATTACTAATTACTGACTAGTAATGGAACAGTATTGTGGGAGCAATGAGGACTAGCAGTGAATGTCAATATAGTCATGGATTAGGGTAGTAAAAGCCAACAAAGGATATGGTAGCTCAATATAGTCGTGGATTAGGGTAGTAAAAGCCTACAAAGGATATGGTAGCTATTAAATTTATTGCAGGAGATGGCCCTTAACAGGTTTGGAGGAAAAAAAGGTGATTCTATTTTGTGAGTTTATCTATTTTAAGTTATAAACTACTCTGCCCAGCTATTATTAGTCTCTTGATTGCAGTTTGTTTTCTGGCTTGATGGTTATTAAGTGGTCTTAGGTTTATGTTGGGGTTCAAGATTGAGTAGGGTCTTTCATTCAAAAACGAAAACAAAAACAAAAAGTATAGGTTTTAGATTTTTATGAGTATTCTAATTGAAATAGTAGATGCTTGGACCTTTCTTCACCGTGTTTGACACCTTTAAATCATTGCTCATTAGCCGTTTTCTTGGCTGCCTTTGTTTTCCTGAAGTTATTACATCTACTTCTACCAACTCATAAACTCATATAAGCCTGTACTCAGGTATATTATTACATATAGCTTGAGGGATCTCCTAGAATTCTTTTTTATGGGAATCCAAGTTCTAGCTATCATCTGTTTTCATGTTGATTTGGAAAAAGAATAATAATGGTAAAAGAAAAAGGAAACCTGTGATCATGTTTCATTTTCTGAATTATGAGATATCTAAATACAACATTAAGAAAAATATTGTGTTTGATGGGAAACAATATCTTCTTTGGCAGGTGACAGAACTCGCTTGCAAAGTTTTGCAACATATAGAATTATAGATGTATAGAGATGGATTACTTATGTTTTCTTTTTCTTTCTTTCTTTTTCTGTTTGTTTCCTTTCACCTTAGTATCATATTATTTTTACTTTTCCACATGTGAATATTATGGCAATTTAGCTAGTACTTTATTTAACTTCTCCAGGGGGTTAAAGTTGTTTTAGTCATTGGAATTCATAGTTGCAAGTTAATTTGTGAAAACAAAAGATTTTAGTTTCCACCTTGTTAAACTTGGTCTTTTAACCCTTTTTATTATCTCACAGGTGACATTACTGGCATTGCATGGTCGCCTCATTGCATACCGATGGGTAATTTTCTTTGTTTCTTTTGTAGTGTATTTATTTCCTTTTTTATAGTAGGATACACTAGCTCGTCAATTATGATTTATTATATTCTACTATTCTATGCCACTATATAAAGAACTTTGTGAAGGTAGTCAAAAAATGTATGATTGGAAGACATGTTCTCATACTATATTTTGGAGGGCAAAAAAGTAATTTAACAAGATTCATTTTTCTCTTTCTTTTTGTTTGTTTTTCATTTTTTGTTTTCTAGAACATTCAATATCATACAAACAATTTTCTCTTCCTTTCTCTTTCTGTCTTTTTTTCATTTTCTAGAACATTCCATTACCAAACAATGTCATGAACATAGAATTGGGCCCATATAATTATCTATCCATTATATTTTAGGTCCTGAAAGGAATACAAATGAAAATTATAAGTTTCTTTCATTAAGAATAATAGCATTTGTAGCACAAAAAAAAGTCGAAGAATAACAAAGTAACAAAATATAAGTTTTTTGAAACTTATAGTTTTTTGCATTAGGCACGTGAATTTTATTCCGCAAAAAATAAATAGAACTTAAACAAACGATACAATAGATGAACAAAACCTTATCCTTCCCTGTAGAATAAAGCGATAGCTTCCCTATATAATAGATCTATACCACTATATTAAAAATTTTGTGGGAATAAAAATTTTTAAATGAAAGGAGGAAGTCTTTCATTCCACAAAGACCTGAGGGCAATTTTGTAATTCTTCATGAATATTAAATGCTTCACATGTCCCTATGCACTATTTCTCTCACACACAATTAAATTCAAAAACACTTAGCATTCCCTCTCTAACAAACACAACTAAAACTTTACAAGTAAACATTCTGTAAGGATATTTAAGTCAACTGAATTTTTATGCAACTTAAGCATTTCAAATACAAATTAAAAATAAAATAAACTAATGCAATTATAAGTATTAAACACACGAATCTCACATTTTCAAGGGAATTTTTGTATAACAAATCCAAGCCAAGATTTTACTAATAAATGTATAGTCTTCATGATTGAGCATAATGACAAACAAGAAATGGTAAGATATATGTCCCAACATAAATCTTTGATAATTAGAAATTTCAATAAAAGAAAATGACGGGCTTGGAGTATAAATTATATACTGTGAATTAGTTCAAATTAAAAATCTAGCTTATAACTATCTATTTGTTTCTTTTTATGATATAAAATTTAAACAAATACGGTCTAATATTTAGCACGAGCATTTTCACATGCAAAACTGCTAGTTTTGTTGAATTTAAAACTGCGCAAATCATCCTAATCAAACTAAAAGAAAACTTTTGTAAACAACTGGAAAGATAAACACCTATTTTACCTTTCTTTGTTGATTTATGATCACTGACTGCTTCATTTTCTTTTACAGCGGGAACACAAGCAATGGTTTTAGCCACATCGGGTGAGGACAAAAGAGTGAGATTGTGGTTAGCGCCTGAATTCCATTCCTCATGAAGTACTTCAAGTCTCAGCAACTAGAAAACGATCTGTAGATTTTCTGCAGAAGAGCAATATGAGTTGTTCCTAAAGTCTGACCCAAACTCTCTGCTATGAGAGTTTTATTAGCGACGCACAAAAGTTAAATAGCGAAACTAAAAGAAAATGTCAAATACTCAAAATGCCAATCATGTCCCGTCAATTTTGACCATTAGATATGATTATTTTCTGATATGATCTTTATCCTTATGTATTTTATTGCCGTAAGAGTAATTTGCTTAGCAGTTGTATGTTTTCAATGTTTGATTCAGATTATAACTGATTAAAATCATGGTCTAGCTTCAGTGTTCATCTAAGTACACCTTCGTTTCTCAAGTAGAAATTTTATTGTTTATTCCTCCGTTTGAGCCCATTTTTAATGTAGACGCGTTTCCAGTATGTATCATGTATGGGTAGCTGGAATAATAAACGCATTTACAAAAAATCATCATTTCGTCCCATTTCCCATTGTTGGAAGACCCTTAGCTTTGAACGTGATTGCAATTCTCATATTTTTTGTTTATATTGTACATCCATCTTTTAGTACTGCAACGACAACCAAGCGTGTCAATCTAAATTTAGATGTAGTTGAAATAATATATGATCTCAGCTACACTTACTCAAAACACATGCAATTGCATGTCAGTGAATTACAACTACACGGAGTCTTCGCGCTGATAAAGATTAACTTGTTCAACAATGCTTATTATTTTTATTATATATAAATTCAACACATGGATATTGTTCGATGACGCTCTATGTGACATTATACTGTCCTGATAGGGACCCACGGAGACTCAAGCATGAGGTTTTTTTATTAATTACAGACATATGTCATTTACCACACAAAGTCAACCACTCAAATATCATCTAGTAAAATCTCACGGAGTTTTCCTAACATACCGTCTACTAACGAAATAAATTCTGTTGAATCGTTACAGAATTTGCTATAAATTTAGAAGTCCTATTGCCTTTGTTATAGATAATATACAAAACTTTTAGTCGATTGTATTATATGGACTTTAGCGTCGCACGCACGAGATTGTTACCGGTATCAGGTGACAACACTAGTCCAACTATTGGCTCCATTATTTCTCCATGGCCGTCTAGTTATGACCCCAGCGGGGCCCACCGATCTCCGTAGGGCCCGATCAGGTCTAGGGCTGTGCTCCATTCAATGGGTCGTTGGGGTTTGACTGTTCCGTAATCGTCAGACAAAAGTTTTGGCATCTACGTATTCATTCATTCAAATAGTTCATGCGCTGGTCCCTGCCGTACCATCTGCCACTCTACAAGCCCAAGGACTAGAATTGGACCCCAGCAACATGAAGACTGGGTCCCCTTGTTTCTGAGAGAGAGGGTTAAAATAAGGGTTATTTAGATATTCCTCAGATCTTCAATAATTACATATCAGTGCCTCACGTATTTGAAACTAGTCATAACACGCCTCAATTTATGTTTGGCTTAGAAAAACATTCGCCAAGAGGTATTTTGGTTATTAAGAAATCAAATTGTGAAAACCCTTAGGACTTATGAGCAATTCCAAAGATTTGAATGGCTTATATGGATTATTGAAGATTTGATGAACTAATACCTACGCAATCCTAAAATGAATGAATTTTTTTTGAACAGTGATAACCATAGTATATACGCGAAACTACTTTTATACTACTAGAAGTGAAGGTTTAATATTGAATGACTCAGAATTTTATAACAATTCAAGAAAAATGACGCCTCTCTTTTTTGTTTGTAGTGGTTCGAAAGTAGTATGAAATTTGTAGTCTAGTTAGTATTATATGGCGTTTCAAGGATTTACTCCTACTGTGTTAAACACTTACATGATGCTTGATTATTTTGAAAGTTGTACAATTTTGTCACGTGGATTACATCTTTCATCAAGGACGAAAATTGGTAAGGCGGGACAACTTCTTCCAAGTTTTCCTAATTATATTTTAGGTTTGGTCAGGGAGCAAATACTTGATTTTATAATTACTCCAATCAAATAATTGGAGACTATTACAAGCAAATTCGTTACAACGAATTTGATGCTTCGGTGAAGCTATGGTAGGTGGAATGAAAATAGAAAAATTATGAGGAGAAACTTCAAGTGTTTCTGAAAGTAGCAAAATCTATAATTTGTGCTATTCTAAAAGATCAAGTCCATAATTAGCTTGTTGCTGGAGAGGATGAAACTAAGTCCATTTCGCAGCTTGAACTGACTTTATTGGAAGCAACGTTGAGAGCATCTCCAATGTTACTTCAAAAAGCCATTTTGACGTCAAAAGAACATCAAAACTACGTCCAACCTAGCGTCAAAACCTGGGCTATTTTGGGCGCTACTACAGTGTTGCGCTAGGAATGACTGCGCCAGGAATGACGCAACACTGTAGATATGAAGTTTTTTCTTTTTCCCAGTTTGCCCTTAAAATTGGTTATAACAAATCAAATATTCCAACCATATCCCATTTCATCCATTATATTTCCTATTTGGTGTAAAATTTAGTGTAATGGGTTAGAAATGGAATAGTGATTTGGTATAAAAACTACACTAACTTGATATAAAAACTACATTATTTTGGGTTTTTTAAATCAGAGATGCTCTGAAGAGTGATATAGATAATCTGGGTCTATCCATATTGTATAGGCCTATGTAAAGAATCCAAAGTGTAGTGGGTTAGTAGAAAGCCCGATTGCACAGACTCAAAAAGGGACCTCTTGGGAACTGTATTAGAGCACCGCAATATTGAGCATTTTCACCAGAGGTTGATGGCTGATGATTATATACAATTATTTTACAATTCACGTGATAATCATGATTAGTTTAACATAATCTTAATTATCCTGTCAATCGTGTGGCTGTATAATAATAAGCATTCAAGATCCTCTGCCGCTAAATTTTTTTACACTAAACTAGCCTTTTATACATCTTTATATGTGCTTTGAGTTTTGAGTTCGAATTAGGCACCGTCATCTTATGCCTATATTTGGCACCAAGATAAGACTATAATTAACACCCAAGACCCAACTCCACTCGGGGGTTTGAATTGGCGGAGTTGAAGTTTGAAAATATATTGATTTCTCCAGTTTTATTGAGAAATATACAAAATATCACTTAGTTGCGACTTGCGAGGGGAAGACGTATAAAATCGTGAAATTAATCACCACTACTGCAAAAATTTATTATTATTATTACTACTACTACTATTTTACTTTTATCCATTATTGATGTACAAGAATATTATAAAATGACTAGATAACATTAGATAAGGGAGAAGATTAAATGGCAAGAATTTGGGATAAACTTTTATTTACTGATATAATTCTCATTTTATAATCTTATGTATCTTATGAAAAATCTTTTCACTAGTAGAAAAACGAGCAACCTAGACGGAACAAACTAGACAGAATTATTTTCCGTCTAGTTTGAGTCAAACTAGACGGAACTAATTCCGTCTAGTTTGTTCCGTCTAGTTTGAATCAAACTAGACGGAAATTTCCGTCTAGTTTGTCAATCTAGACGGAAAGGTTAACCTAGACGGAATTTCCGTCTAGGTTGCCTTAACCTAGATGGAAATTTTCGTCTAGGTTGAATGATCAACCTAGACGGAAATTCCGTCTAGGTTGACTACTCAACCTAGACGGAACTTTCCATCTAGGTTGAGGCAACCTAGATGGAAAGTTCCGTCTAGGTTGAGTAGTTAAGCCTAGATGGAAATTTCGTCTAAGGTTGGCGGCAACCTCAAGAACGGAAATTCTGTTTAGGGTTGGACCGTAGGCAAATTTAAATGCCCTAGTCACCGCGCCGCGCGCCTCGCCAAAATCTATCCACTCTTTACTCAACCTTCCCCCCACTTCCGCCCCACCAAGGCAGCGTGTTGCGCCACCGACCGCGCTGCTCCCTCAGCGACCGCCACCCTCTGCCGCCCTTCCCGACGGCCCCCGGTCCGCCCCGCCTGCGGCCCCCCTCGGACCAGTGGACCCCCCTCCTCCGACCCCGCTCCCGACGCCGCCCACGCGCCGCTGCCGGACCCCCCCTCCTCCGGCAGCCCTCCCGACGGCCCCCCGCGGCCCCATCGGCAGCCCAACCCCCTCGACCCCATTCCGACCACCGCCCCTTCCCCCTCCGACTCCCAGCCCTTCCGACCAACCCCTCGTTCTGACCACACCCCTTCCCCCTCTCCTCCCCCATTGCCCCCCTTCCCTTCCCCTCCCCTCCTCTCCCGCCTCCTCCCCCCTCCGCCTCCCCCTTCGCGACCGACGCCCCCCTGCTTCCGACCACCTCGTATGCCCGCGCTCCCACCTTCTCTCCCCTCCTCCCTCGCCCCCTCAGGCTAGCCCGGCCCCCCTCTGTCCTCCCCGCCCTCACGCCCCCGAGGCCCTGCCCGCTGTCCCTCCCTCCTCCTCCTCCCCGCCGTTTGCCTTCAGCCCTCGCAGCCCCGTCATCCCTTCGCCGCCCCGTCCCCCCTGGCCTCGGCAGCCCCCCTCCCCCTTCCCCCCCTCCCGACCACCCCACCCGCAGCGCCCTTCCTCCGCCCTCGCCCTCTCTGGACGATCGCCGTCCCTCCCCCTCCGCACAGTGTCCGTTCTTTCATTTGCCTAAAATGTATGTTTTTTCTACCGAGCTTTAGAATTTTTAAATTATTATTATTTATTGTTGAATTTAGTTTAGAAACCCTAATTTATGATAAAAAAAATAAACGAGTTCAATTCTGAAAACCCTTACTTAACTACATGTTAATTCATTTGAACAACACCAGTAATCATATTTTGTTTAAACACTTATAAACCCTAACTCATTTAAGTTTCATTCGTGCTATAAGTACGTGTGATTATTTAAGTTTGTGATGTGAAAATATGTGAAATAAATTTTTTTAAAAAATAAAGTGATATATAACACATTATAAATTTTTATAATGTGTTATAATCCAATTTAGGTGAATAAAAAAATAACGTTATCCCTATACTTCCGTCCAATAATTACATCCAATTATTTGGACTTATAATATATGATATACGACTCAGATTTGGATAGGAGACGAAGTTTTCTCCCAAAAATGAGCGTTTATTTTATATTATAGGAATAAAAAATTAGTACTGAAATTCGTAATTATTGGATCTGTCCTTCTCGGACGGGTTAGGAATATAGTAGTTTATACATCCAACTTTGTATACTTTGTATATATTCATTCTTGAAAGTTTTGGCAGCACCTATTCGTTGTTCTCCGTATACAATAAGCGTATGTTGTTCTGCGTTTCGGGTTATTACTGATACACATAATAACATCCGCACAGTGTATAGGGAGAACAGCGGGTAGGTGCTACCGAATATTTCAAGAAATGAAAATATACAAAGTATATG